GAAAGCGGGAAACCCCCCCTGAGGGGGGGTGGCCATGAGACAATCCCTTCTCCTCCATTCTCCTCTCGGGATCTTGGGCACGCACGCATAGGTGCCCGAAGTGAGTTTAAGCCACCGGGACTTGAACCATGGTCTACTACATGGGAGTCCAGCGACAAAACCATTACGCCAACTGCTGGCCCCAGCTCTTTTTAATTTTTTTTAAAAGGAATCTATTCAGTCAGTCTATGTCTTCTAATTGAAGATTTAATCCAATAACATTAAACATTATTATTATTATTGATTTTTGAAGATTTATTCCTGACAGTTTGTTAGCCATATTATAGGTTGTTTTGTTATCTTTTTTCTCTTTGTCTCTCTAGTTTTCTTTTCTTTTTTCTTTCTTTTCTTTTTTTGGAGAGGTTTTTGCTATAGGGCGCTTGTAGTTGCCAGACAGACAGAGAGAGACATAGAGACGGAAAGCAAGAAATCACCCCCAGGGGGGATGGTCATGCCGCAATCCCTTCTCCTCCGTTCTCCTTTCAGGATCTTGGGCATGCACGCACAGGCTCCTGGCGTGAGTTTTAAGTCACCCAGTCCGGGACACGAACTGCAGTCGACTACGTGGGAGTCCAGCGACATAGCCATTATGCTAACTGCTGGTCCCCACTATGCAGCAATTTTAAAAATAGAAATAATAAAAAAAAATCTGAGTAAACCAAAAACTAATAATGAGATTAAATTATTAATCAAAACTTCCCAACTACAAAAAGTCTGGGACCAGATGACTTAACTAGTGAATCCTACCCAAAACTCAGAGAAGCATTAACACCAATCCTTCCTTAACTCTACCAGAAACCTAAAAGGGAACATTTGAGACTTATTTTACGAGACCAGTACTATACCAGTGACAAAGTCAGACAATGACAGCACAGAAAAAGATAACTACAGGCCAATATCCCAGACAAACATAGATCTATAATATATTGCTTTGTTTTCATTTTATCTGCTGCTCTTTAGGTGTATTTATTATAATATTTGTGAGTCTCTCTTTTTCCCTTCATTTCCTGGGTACCATTTGAAGTTATTCTTAATGAGATGAACTTTTCTCAAGACATTTTTATAGTCATTACATTCTTGACTGTTTGCCATTTACAAAATGGAACAACATGGCCAGCCCCATAGTGCAGTGGTTAAACACTGTGTGCAAAGAAATAGATTCCATATGGCCAAAAGCAGTTTCAATCCCATCTCTGGTGTACATAATAACATTCTGGGCACAGGTCCCTATGTACCCCAAATCTATCCGGTTAAGAAATTGCAGCAGGATCATACTCCACTTAGGGGGTTGATCTCTCTCTCTCTTTCACTCTTCTCTCTCTAGTGAGTGCACACATCTTTTGCAATAAGAAATACAGTAAAATGAAATAGAACTGTTACCTCAGATGCACAACGTTGACGGTGCGCCACCAGTTGAAAGCAACCTGGCTCTCTGCATTGCTACAAGGAGCACAGCTGCCAAATGTTCAGGAACATACATTGGATATTGTAATGTGGAGAAATAAGCTCTTATTATGCCAAGACACTGACTTTCTATTTTAAATATTTTTTGATTATTTTAATTTTATTTATTATTATTGTTATTTTAATTTGTTATAGCGCATATGAACTCCCAGTACAGAGAGAGGAGAGAGAGAGAGGGAGATAAAGTGAGAAAGCAAACTGCCAGGTCTAGGACTTGAACTGTGGTCAGCCATGTGGGCATCTATTACCTTTAACCACCACACTACCTGTTGGCCCTGACACTGACTTTTTAAATAAATCATCTTTAAAGTCCTTATGGATTGAGTTACTCAAATTAATGAATGTATCATTTCTATAAACTGACATTTTCCATAAACTAAATTATTTTAGTTCCATATAATGCCAATTTTTGTAAATTCATTAGTTAATATAAACACCTAAATATCCTTCAGCTATTTGTGAAATACTATCAATTTTTATCTGTTACAAAAAAACAATAGTATAAATAAAAAATGTTTACAATACATTGCTAACTAACAAACAAAAATAATGTATTAATAGCATTGTTTAGCCAGCACTATATTTACCAAATACTAGCATAAATGTATCTTCATGGGAAAATAAGTAAAAAATAAATTTCACATGGATTAATAATGACGGGGCTAATTGTTTTATAGGTAATTCTTTTTATTTTCACATTTCTTTATTTGATACTCATATAAAGTCAAGATATAGCCAATATTAAAAATAATTGGGTAAAATTAATAGTACAAATATTTCTGGATTTTAGAAAAACTATATGCAATTAGATACCACATGGGATAGTGTTCCAGCTAATTGCTCAAATTGTAGCATCCAAAGCAATCATGCTTCAGTGCTATTCCCTAGTGTCCGGGCTTATGCATACATTAGTGATCAGTGTGGTGCCAGGATTTGACTTTTAGGCAGAATCTTGTCTCCGTAATCTTGAAGCTTTCTTAACAGGTTGTAAAGAAAGATAACATACGACATATTTAATAAAATCAACTGTGGACTCCTACTACTATTTACAGATCCCTCTCTATTAGTTAAATAATAACTAGGAGTATTCTTGGAGTACTTTAATCTTTGGACAAGATTCTTCTGTAAATGAATCACTCAAATGTTCCTGTATTTAGGTAAGTTAACTTACTTCTTTCAGTCTTGGCAAATCTTTATTTGATGCAAAATGACAGAATTATTGTTGCTACAGTCCAAAATTTATTTTTGTAACCCAGGACTTTAATAGCTGTCATTGCTCAGTGTTGACTTATCTTCTGAAACTTGCCACATAAGAACATGAAGAGATTTTCTTCCATATTAATTCATCTCTTTTATCAGTACAGAAACAGCACACATTTTGTTGTAATCACATTTTAATAGACAATATAATATGCATATGACTATATAAATATGAATAAAAAAGAACTGGTATATTACTTTTTTTTGGAGAAGTTTTTGCTATAGGGTGCGTGTGCTCGTCAGAAAGACAGAGAGAGACAGAGAGACAGAAAGCAAGAAATCAACTCCCATGGGGGTGGCCACACTGCAATCCCTTCTCCTCCATTCTCCTCTCGAGATCTTGGGCATGCATGAACCTCCTCCATTCTCCTCTCGAGATCTTGGGCACACACACACACACACACACACACACACACACACACACATCCAGCATGAGTTTAAGCTGCTAGGTCCAGGACTTGAACCATGGTCGACAGCATGGGAGTCCAGTGATGTGGCCATTACACAATGTGCTGGTACCAAGGATTGGTTTATTACTATATCACAGTTCCAGAATGTGTTGAGCTATTTAGTTAGTAGAAGTATATCAAAAATAATCATAAATTAAATACATGTTAGATTCACCATTTTAGAGGATATTTACAGTTTATATTTATTGACAAATTCAAGTAAATTGTGCCTTAATTTAAAAGGCGAGGTAGAGAAGAAACTGTAGAAATTTATGATATCCATTTCCTCTAAGAGAATTATTTTTCCTAATTCCAGATTGATGTAAAGTGTTTGACTAGTTCTTCACATGAAGTCAGCTGTCTGGATAATAGTCTTATTATTTAAGTGTAATAGTATTGTTTCAACTATTCTTCCTGCCTTAATTTTGTTTTTAATATTGTTCCACACCCAATTTTATTTTTTATTATTCCATTAATTAAAGAAACTATATTTACTGTGTAACTGTTACTTGAGTGAATGATAACTTGAAAAAATCTAATGGTGGAAACCAAGTAGTTTCATCAATACTGTAAATAAAGAAGCATTGTGCTCCTTCCTGTTTTTTTTTTTTTAATTGTAAATATTGCTTCTTATTTCTCTATATAAACTTTCATATTATGTTCATAGGATCCCAGAAAATCAGAGTGCTGAAGTCACCTTCATCCTCTTGGGCTTCTCAGAATATCCGGACCTCCAGGTGCCCTTGTTCCTGGTCTTCCTGACCATCTACACAGTCACGGTGCTGGGGAACTTGGGCATGATCGTCATCATCAGGATGAACCCCAAACTGCACACCCCCATGTACTTTTTCCTTAGCCACTTGTCCTTTGTTGATTTCTGTTACTCTACAGTAGTGACACCAAAACTCCTAGAAAACTTAGTTGTGAAAGATAGAACCATCTCCTTCACAGGATGTATCTCCCAGTTCTTCTTTGCGTGTGTATCTGTGGTGACAGAAACATTTATGTTGGCAGTGATGGCCTATGACCGATTTGTGGCTGTTTGTAACCCTCTGCTCTACACAGTGGTCATGTCTCAGAGGCTTTGCTCCTTGTTGGTGGGTGTGTCTTACACTTGGAGTATCATCTGTTCTTTGACATACACACACTTTTTGCTGACCTTAACCTTTTGTGGGACGAACTTCATAAATAACTTTGTCTGTGAGCATGCTGCCATTGTTGCTGTGTCTTGCTCTGACCCCTACATTAGCCAGAAGATTATTTTAGTCTCTGCCACATTCAATGAAATAAGCAGCCTGATGATCATTCTAACTTCCTACATTTTCATTTTTGTCACTGTCATGAAAATGCCTTCAGCTGGGGGACGGCAGAAAGCTTTCTCCACATGTGTCTCCCACCTGACTGCTATTACCATTTTCCATGGTACCATCCTTTTTCTTTACTGTGTTCCTAACTCCAAAAGTTCATGGCTTATGGTGAAGGTGGCCTCTGTCTTTTACACAGTGGTCATCCCCATGCTTAACCCTCTCATCTACAGTCTTAGGAACAAAGATGTGAAGGAGACGGTCAGGAAGTTAGTCAAAAGCAAATTATGTTATAAATTATAAGAGTAAAAATATTAATTATTTACTTTTTAGAGTACTGGTCTAATTGTTCAATAATAAATCAGTACATGAATCTAAAGTAGCCCTTCATTTAAAGTCCAATATATTTTCTCCTCCTATTTAGTAAAATAACTTTTTTTTTCTTTTTCTTTTTTAGGCAAGGTTTTTGCTATAGGGCACATGTGCTCGCCAGAAAGAGAGAGACAGAAAGCGAGAAATAACCCCTCAGGGGGGATGGCCACACCACAATCCCTTCTCCTCCATTCTCCTCTCTGAATCTTGGGCACGCACAAACACTTGCCAGCGTGAGGTTAAGCTACCAGGTCTGGGACTCAAACCATGGTCAACTACATGGGAGTCCAGTGACATAGCCATTATGCCAACTGCCAGTCCCTTGGTAAAATAACTTTAAAATAACAATTATCAGAGATGAAATTTCAGACCACTTATATTAGTCTTTAGTTTACATATTTTTAATCCAGAAGTTTCTATGCTTTTGTACTTCATTATGTTAATCTATTCAAATCCTAGAAAGTGTGTGAATTTTGAGAGAATCTGAGGAAATATAGTTTACACTGAGTGCTTTTACCTCATATGAAATTAATATATTAAGTGCTATGCAGTATAAAACACTGAATATCTAAAAGTATTTATGCTTTTTTTCTACATGTACTATCTTGACACTGGAAGATTTTATAAATAGGAAATATATCTCCCTTACAAAGTCCAGAATCTGGTGTAGTTAAATAATAATTGCTTCTCATTTCCTTGAACATCAGTAAGTAAAGCAATATTTCAGGTACTTGTCCATTCGTATGTCTTCTTTAGAGAAATGTATATTCAGGTGATTTACTCTTTTTAAATCAAATTATTTAGACTGGCTTTTTTTCTGAGAGTTTATTCAGTTCTTTGCAAATTCTACTTATAAATCCCTTGTTGTTTTTATATTTTTCAAATATTCTGTATATGTTATCTCTTCATTCTGTTGATTTTTGGGAGTGGGAGATAAAAAGTTTTTAGTTTGGTATGATCCCACTTGTCTCTGTTTTGCTTGTGTTGTCTGTGCTTTTGATGTCTTATCCCAACACTTCTTGCCCAGTCAACTTGAACTGATTCCTCTACAATTTCTTCCAGTAATTTCGTAGTTTCAGGTGTTACATGTAATTATTTTATCCTTTCGAATTGATTTCTGTACATAAGAAGAGATAGTGATCTGGTTTCTTTCTTCTGCATTTGGATTTTCCCAACACCGTTTATTGAATAGACTATTATTTCCCCCCAACATTTTTGATATCTTTGTGAAAAATGTGTTGATGGCATGTGAATTTATTTCTAGTCTCTTTATTTATGTTTCACTGGTTTATGAGCCATATGATCCAGCAATCCCATTACAGGACATATATCCAAAGGAAAGAAAATCACTATGTCACTGATAGATATAGATAGATAGATAGAAGATAGATAGATAGATAGATAGATATAGATAGAGAGATTTCTATATGTATTTCTATATATCTGCACTCCAATATTGCAGCACTATTCACTATAGTCAAAGTATAAAATTTACCTAATTTTCCATCACAGACAAAAGAATAATCAAAATGCAATAGACACACACACACACACACACACACACACACACACACTGACATATACATTGGAATTCTATTGAGACAGCAGAAAGAAATACTCTCAATCAATAAACATGGACAAGTATGGTAGACATCACTTTTTTTAAGAGTAGTTATTTACTTATTTTATAATTTCTTTTAATTTTATATATTTTATCTTAATTTTATTTTATATATTCGATCACTATACATCACTACAACTTAGAAAGTGAATTTACCCAACGTAAATACATTTCACACCAGTCCAGTTGAATATACCGTACACATTATCAACAGATAATCATCCACTTCTGTGTCCCATAAATTTCTTGCCTCTTTATTTTTCTCCTTGACATCACTTTAAGTAAAATACCCCAGTACAGAAAACATCACATTTTCTTACTCATATGTGGAAACTAAAAAATGGGTCTTACAGGAGTAGAGAGTAGAATAGTGACTACTAGAGGATGGGAAAAGGTAATAGAGGAAGGGTTAGAGAGATGTTGCTTAATAGATGTAAATTATAGTTAGATAAGAGGAATATGTTTTTTGTGATCTGAATTCATTAGGGTTACTAAGTTAATAATATACTGTATATTCCAAAGTAGCTAGTTGAGGGGATTTTTGAATGTTCATCACACAAGGCAATAGTAAGTATGCAAAATACTGAGTATGCTAATTATCCTTTTTTTTTTTTTTTGCTATAGGGTGCATGCTCTCTCTGGAAAGACAGTGAGACAGAGAGAGAGAAAGTGAAAAAATACCACAATGGCTTCTCTTCCATTCTCCTCCTGGGATTTTGGGCACACACTCATATACCTGGTTTGATTTTCAACCCACCATGTCTGGTACTTGAGCCATGGTCAGTTATGTGGGAGTCCAGCACCTTAAGCATTATGCTACCTGCTTGGCCTTAATTATCCCAATTTGGTCATTACATGTCATACTCATATGCTGAAAAATCACACTGTACTCCATAAATATGTACAATTATCATGTGTCAATTAAACTTATAATAAGAAAAGAATGAAGTAAAGGAAGAGACAAAGAAACATTTTATTTTTATGTAAATTATACTTTCTCTCTATACTAGAACAAGAGAAAGGGCTGCTTTGTAAATATGTGCCCAGCACACTAATTCTGCCATTTATTCTACTGTGATTGTGCATTATTTATTTATTAAAAAATTATTGACATAATTTTAGACTTAATTTGTGAGAAATGACATAGTGAGCCAGCAGGTAATATGGTGGTTAAGGCACCAGACTCCCACATGGTGACTATGGTTCAAGTCTGGAACCTAGAGACTTGCTGTCTCACTTTCCCCCTCTCTCTCTCTGGTGAGTGCACATACCATGTATCAAATTAAAATAATAATAATAAATAAATTAAGTTAAATTAATACTTATTTTTAGTTAGTAAATGACAGAGAGAATATAATGATGGCTTACCTACTTCCCCAATTCCCACCGTGAGAGTACAATATAACAATTAAACTATTGATACTGATATCATAGACATATTATTTAGGCACCAGTTACTTATTTATGAGAATGGAACACTTGTGATCATCAGTGATATATATAGCCATGCGTAATTCTGCATCAGTAGCTTGACTGCAGTTACTAATATGAGCAAAATCTCTTCATATTGATTGAGTCCCTTGGACATCAAGACTGGATAACTTGATAAGCTAAATTTAGTCTACAAACCTGTCCATATGTCATCTTTCTTGGGATTTCTGGCTAATAGTCTTTGTTGAAAGGAGAGTCACAATAGAGTATCAAAAATAAGGGCATACTTCAAGTCCCTGTTTGGATCTAGTCTTTTCACATTTGATGAGTCAGAGTACATGAAATGACTAAACAGAAAACACATATTGAACCTTTCTGTCATGGAAGGAACATATATAACATTTGCATAGGCTATTGCAAACAATTCAGAAAGTCACCTGTTAGGGGCTTGCAGGTGGCATAATGATTAAGGCTCTGTAATCCCCACATGGCCAACAGTGATTCAAGTCCCAGACCTGGAGACTTGAAAATCACACTGGGCATGAGTTTATGTGTACCCAGAATCCCAGGAGGAGAGTGGAGGATGTGACCTTGCCCCCTAGGGGATGATTTCTCACTTTCCTTCTCACTGTCTCTCTATCTCTCCCTGATGAGTGCATGTTGCATGTGCCCTATGGTAAATATCCTAAAAAAATGAGAAAAAAGGTAAGTAACCTGTTAGGTGCCACTCCAGTAGCACAAGGCAATAGGGTGTGATACTGAACGGTATGGGAAGCTGGGGTTCTGATTATTAGACAGCCTGAACACTGGAGAACACACCTAATTCTGACTGGCTGAAAGGCTTTGAGAAGGGGCAATAGGGGAGATTATGACATGGAAAGATACTTGAAGGTCTCTGTGTTTCTCTCTATATATTCCTCTATCTCTGTCTCTATTATTCTAGTAAGAAATATGCAAGTACCTTTAATAGTTTGCCTATCTGCAACAAATGTCATACCATAGCCCTCCAAGGAAGAAAGTCTCACTTTATTTACTACATCCATAAGTTTAAAAGCATAGCGTAGGGACCAGCAGATGATGCAATGATTATGTCACCGGACTCCCACATGCTTACTGCAGTTAGAGTTCCTGATACAGAGGCTTGAAACTCAGCATCAGACATGTGCACATGTGCCCAAAATCCAGAGAGGAGAATAGAGGAGAAGGGATTCTGGTGTGGGCAATCCCCAGGGGGTGATTTCTCACTCTCTGTTTCTCTCTGTCTCTCCAGTGAGTGTATATGCTCTATAGCAAAAGTCTTTTTCTTAAAAGAAAAAAAAAAGATATCTTAAAGAGTAGCGTACTATTCATATGTAGAAAAAAATCTATAACTATGACTTAATGCAGACATTAGTGAACTAATAATATTATCTAGAATATATTTGTGTTCAAAGACTCAATGTCTACTTTCAGAATCAAAGAACAACTTCAAAATAAACTCATACTTGAACTCCATTTCTCTATAATCTTTCTGAAATCCCTCCCATGTTTTCTTATGTACAGTCACTCTATTGTGAAGTAGATCAATAGAACTTGTTCTTCCTAACTATAGCTTTGAATCCTCTGATAATCTCTCTTCAGTCCCTAGACGGCCCTACCATGTCCACTCTCTGAGAAACACCATTTTTCTCTGTCCTTCTATGCGATCAGTTTGTTTCAGATTTTATTTCACATTCAAGATTTGTCCATCATTAGCATTAACTGAGAAGAGTTGATAAAAACAAATGTTCTAGGGCTTTAGAAAACACACAACTAAAATTTCACATGAGAGACCATTACTCTAATTGCTCAGTTTGGAGCCACTCCCAAGGCAATCTGTACTTCGACAGCATTCTCTAGT